GGAATATAATGAGCAAGTGAAGACGTTATTAGAAAATGAATGAAATGAAACATTGTTAAGTGATATTCGAAGATACGACAAAGGAAAGCATGTTAATTTATAAGGTGCCCCATAAATCTGTGCAGAGCCCACGTGGTCGCATCTCAGCAATAGGCTGACCGAATGGTATATGTTTGAAGGTAGAAGCATGATCTGTCTAGGCGATCATTATTATCTTTTTCAAGATAAAGATTCAAGGTCTCATAGAAATCTCGAGCCGTCAAATTGCATATTGCTGTTCCTGCAGAATGGGGCGATTTACCTTAGTGTCCACCACCATAACTACTGATCAGCTCGCGCCACCCTCCCTCCTTAGTTACTAGACACTGGGTAGCGTCCCTATGAAACAGGAAAACTCCAGGGAGTCAGTGGCAAAATAGTCATCCCATTGACAGCGTCGAACGAGTTCTTGGACTAATTTCTAGTCTGTGTGCTTACATATCATGCTCCCTGAATCTTGTTTGTTTCCTGTATTTGGTGACGGGAAAGTCAGCCAGCGGAGTACCATTCTAAGGTCGCCACTGGAAAATCTGTTGCCAGCACAGGCGTAGACCGGGATTATGTTGTGATAGAACACAAGTTTCAACATACTGTCACCACGGGTAGGCGTCTGGACGTGTTTTTTCCGTCCGTAGCAATCAACAGTGGCAAGTAATTCGTCGAGGCGTTGGGGGCCGGAACTACTTAACCAGTTGACGTCTGTAAGATTGAAGTCCCCTGCAATCATTTTGTAATTAGTACTAAACAAAGAGGCGTGTGCAAACCATTCCACTAATAATTCACCAGCCTCGTGGGTTGAGTATGGCGCTCAATGAACACAGCCTATGAGATGCTTGCGTTTATCTCCATGTAAGACGACCCAGAGTGAGTCGAGTACCGTATTCAGTACTTCATCTTCCACCTTACTGACTGCGAATGAGTTATATATATCTATGAAGCATCCCCCACCGCGCTTGCAATCTCTATTTGCACGGTGTAGGGTGTAGTCACATGTGCCCAAATGCGCATCAAGTGTAGAGGATGAGCAACGCGATTCAGTTATCAGAATCACCGTGGGCTTGGCGACCAATACTAATGTCCTTGGCTCGGATATCTGGTTGGTTAGGGAACGTACATTAATTGGCGATATCGTGAATAAGTCGTGGGACATTGCAGACTGGCTTAAAGTATCACCATGATCTTATGCTGTATGTGCGTCAGCATCGGCAGGGTTTATGGGGGAAAAGGGGGTTGGACTGGGTGTCCATACATCGGGGTTGGAGCACGATGGGGTGGTCCTAGGTGCCGTGGATCGTACTGTGTTGCTGGATGTACGGGTAGTAGCGGTTACGGCTTGGTTGTGGGTTATGAAGCGTAGCATTGTGAAGTCTACCCATCAACCGGTTATTTGGCGTACCACTACGTGTCATGTTATCGTTTCTGTAGCTAGAAACATATTGTGGGGAAAATTTGCTTTGATGCATGGATAGCTAGTAGGTGATATTTGTTGAATTGCAGCACCCATATGTTTCTTTTTGGAGGGTTTCTTAGGATGTGGTCTAGGTTTGTTACCGCATTTACTTTCAACAGGCTTGTTGAACAGAGAATATTCATAATCATTCTTTGGGCCCAATCCTTCGAAATTTGTTCATCGTAATGTGACTACTACGTTTAGGTGGACATTTGTTAGGACTCCTTACAAAAGTACTAGCTATTTTAATTCCTCTCCGTGATGCTTTGGTCGCAGGGAGACTGACATCTAAATTACCCCCTAGTTCCATTGGCAAGTATGCAAGCTGTGAAGCTTACTCAGTGCTATTGTCGTTACTAGCTGACTAATGCGATGCTCAATCCGCTTTCGGTCAGTGTAAGCCCGAAGAAATGTAAAATCATTGCTACGCATTATTGTGTATTGACACGGTGTTTTCTCTTCAGCTTCGGTTATGGACTTAATACTGTTATTTATGATCTTGAAATTTAGTTAACTTACTAGCGTCAATAGAGTTGCCAAACCTAAAAATGATGGGACAGTTAGACCGTGTTGATTTTTTACGGAGTCGTTTGCATTCACATAACACACCAGCCATGCCACAACAATTCGGGATCCTGCTTTTTATGGATTTTAGACGCATTCGTTTCGGTATATTGTCAAGTATAGGCCGACGAGATGAGACTTTACGCTCCATCACTTCGGTAGTCCATGAGATTTTCTCATCCGGAAAAATTGTGGGATTGTTTTCGAAAAGGCGGGCTATAGGGTCTAATTGCAAGCATCCAATAAAGTCTTAACCTAGTCAATATCAGAATAGTTTTCAGTGATATTTGAGATTGATAGTGGAATGCAGTCGAACTAGCCTAATTTTTTCTGCAGTTCCTTTACTTTTCTCTGGATGCCTTCTACAAGGCAGTTTAACTCACAGAAGTCAAAGTTCTCCAACAGAATATCCCTCAGCTGCATTACTGGAGTGAAGACTGCATTCGAAGCATTTGGTGAGCTAGTAGCTGTTACTGTATTATGGGGCGTTAACTAAGTATTAGGCGATTTCGGGCTACTATTGTGTTCCTACGATCACGACGTTTACAGATTCGACCCCTAATTTTCAATGGTCACCTATCGGAATTCAATAAATTAATATTAGCGGAAATGTGTGAAAATGTCACTAATTTTGAACGTATTGCTCTCCGAAGCCACTGCAAAGTAGTTCTTTACGAAATACACGAAGTAATTGCATTACAAACCTTCAATGTTGAGGATGTGGGGGTTCCCAACACAAAAAGGCAATGGCTGAATAAAATGTCCGGCTATTAACTGAAGTTAGGATTCAGGATAATAGCGCAAAATGGTCCGGTATTAGAATCTGATTTATGTAAAAATGAGATGTAAAGCATACAGTATATTGTTTGTGTTTGACAACGCGTTCGCAGATCTTTTGACAGTTTTGTTCTTCCAGGACTTTGTATCTATCTGAATATATCTAGGTACAGGGTATCTGCTTGTCACAAATAGAGATTTTCAGGAGAGAGGTTAGGCTAAAATGCATGAGTAGCCTTGAAAAGTCCGTGAAGCACGAAATTTCTAGGGGACACTCCAAACAAGCTTAAGTGGTAAAATGCAAGCTGCTCAAATAATCTGCACTAATTCATCGTCAGGATGAAATGCACTATTTGAGGTGCATGTTATCAGAAACCATAACAACAAACTCTTCAACAGTTTAGTGATATCTGAAGTATTCAGCTATACATTAGACTGACAGGTGAACAACATAGAAGCCACCTACACACACTACGACTTTGGCAATCTACCTTGTACTCTTACACCACGAAGATGACTCCGATCCAAACAAATCCCGAAAATGACTGTGGAGAAGCAAGCACTGCTTCGTTTAACGACACTAGACAGCTAATTTTCACGCATTGTTTCGAATTTCTATATATGACACTTTATTAGTCTTTTCGCAATTCTTCGGACTGGTAACCTGCTATGCTCTCTCCTCATTTGAAGAGGGTTGGATAGAACGACTGGTGCCGCAGACCTATAATGAAACTGCTGGTAATATTAAGGGTGATGCAAAGTCTATTGGACCGTCGTCTCAGGAAGCATAAGAACACTGGTACCATTCTGAATGTAAATCGGCAAGATTTCCTGGTTTTCATTAATGAATTGCCGAATAACCCTAGCTCCTCAACACTCCTGTAGACCTGAGATGTAAAATTATGGAGGCCATTAGGAATTAGTAGCAGACTGCCACTGAAAGTGGCATATCAGTAGATACAAACAGCTCTAGAGATTGCATTCACCAACAAAAAGGACTTCTCCACTTTATGTGGAAATGACCTCTCCCACAACCAAACAGATTTATATTTCAGGTGAATACTCACGGAAAAATTAGAAGCGAGCACCAAACATGCAGCAGACGCATCGAAAACCATCACAGCTCTCTGAACCACCTACAGGCGGTCAGGTGCACTCAAACTTGGGATGTTAACGCAACTGTACAAAATGTCCAATTTACCCCATCAGCACTTTCGAAAAGACAATTCGACCTCTTATAGATCGTCTTAAGTTGTCACCATTTAGAAATATCGATCGTCCAATGATTGGCCCCGAAAACTGGATTTATGTGCTCACTGCTATTTCACAACTAGGAAAGATTTGATTATGGATTACAACCTAATGCACCCTAACAAATATCAATGGTCGGGCACTGATAGATATCTCAGGTTGACCCGAAAAGCGTCACCCATTAGAGGGCAAAGATAAAACTGAAATCTGACTACGTTTTCACTAGAGTTCCTCGCTTATGAGACCCCAAGCTGGCCGACGTGACTACCGTTCCGATGGTTAGTAGCTCCCAGAGAAAACTTAAGGGTCATCCCAAAACCAATGTTATTTACTCGTTTGGAGTATTATCCTGTAAAATAACAGTTAAGAGTTCCAACATAGACTCTGTATCAGTACAAACCATGTATGAACGTCTTACCTATTCCTGCATTCAGTGGAGCTAAATTAAGCTTGAGTTAACTAGATGGTGGGAGAGATTTTCTGAAGCAGAATTCACCAAAAATCTAGAACTATTCGAAAACCCTAAAAGCGGAGCTAAAAGCTTTTCACAGGTTTGTCACCAAGATATTGATTACTGGGCAATGCTTTAAACCAGGCGAAATCATTATTTCACACCCTTAAATTGTGTTGCGCAAAAAAAGCGCACATTGCAGGAACGCGCGATTGTCAATGGTCCGAGGAACGTTGATTTTCTAGATTATGGCTGATCTTCCGCCAACCCAAGACATTGACGAGACTCATGACTGCGCATCGCAATCAACTGATTCTTCAAAAGCATGGGGGCGATTGCTTCCTTTGGATAAGAGATTTCCTTCTCTTGGTTTGATGCCTCTTAGTTTTGTAATCGATAATAGAATTAAGTAATGACTTTTATACATTTGGTCGTGGTGACGATTGTTCTTTTAAATTCGTCCCTGATATGTTTGACGGAGCTGCTCAGTTTACCACCATTAGTAAACTGCATTTTAAGATAGTATTGGTAAATATATCTATTCCCGGTTCTTTCAACATTCAATTTTAGGATACTCTGGGCGACAGTCCATTAGTTTTCATACATGATCTTAGCAGCAATGGAACTTTTGTTAATGGCTGCAAAATAGGGCGTAATAAAAAGCGACCACTGAATAACAATGATGAAATTTCAGTGTCACTGAAAAATTTGAAATGTTTGAGTCCATTTTAATACCTTACTCAACCAATAGGTTATATATATATTTATTCCTGTTTATGCAGGAACATACCAATTGTACAGGCATGGATAAGTTATTATATAAATTACAGTTTGTTTGTTCAATCAAACATTAGAGTCAGTCAGAACAGTCTGCAAAATAGTCTGTCTGTGTAACACATAAAGAGATATAGAAATATTGTCTTCGCATTAACAAAAAACCCAGACTTCAGATGAATGTGATACAAATATCTGGGAAAAATAAAGCTTGAAGTCAATTCTATAAAACTTTGTTGTGAACAGCATCCGTGAGATAAAGTTTATTGATGTATTATTTTGATTCAATAATGTATTTATTCCATTTTTGTCAGCAGTCTGATCGTAGTTTTATAATAGGAAAGAAATTTGATCGTTGATACGAAAATTAGATAAGGTAATGTTAAATTGTTTTACTGCATCAAATGGGGTCAATTCTAGAACTATCCATTTGCGCCATTTGCGTCAGCATGGCAGACTGTACATGTAAGTTGAGTAATACATTGAAAACTGTTTGAAAACCAGTTGTTTCTTTATATCAGATCAAGAATACTCCTTCTACAGAATGTTGGCCAGCGTTTTCAAGTGGTTGCAACGGATCGTTCATGGAATTTGAGTTTGAATTTACTTAAATTGTCATTTCAGTTTAGATGATGGGTTGTTCGACCTCGACCAGAAGATATATAGAAGTGCAGGCTCAGGATTTAATAACAGAAAGAGAAAGTATGTAAACATGAACTGGACGTTAATATTTTATGTATATATAAATGTTTATAAATGCATATCATTGTATAGTAAACACTACCTATAATCTAGTTGTTCTTTCATGTATTTTTGCGAAGTCTTTGAGTTTATTTAGTGTCATAATATTCAGTAATGAGTCTGGGCGTTATAGTGTTCTAATAGCTCATGCGTTTTAGAAATAAGTGTGCGGTGTGATTGGCATAGTCATTTGGGTGAAGCATTTCATATAGCAAGCGTTTGAAGGTTATGATAGAGTGACAGGTCCTTATTTCTAGGGGTAAACTGTTCCAGATCTTAGAGTACATGACTATGAAGAAGTTTGCACGGAGTGTTGTCTTGCAGTTTTTCCTAGATACTGTGCACGTTTGGTTACGAAGATTGTAAGAGCCTTCCGGTGAAAACTGTATCTCCTTACTGTCTGAGAATGATATTTTATGCAATATTTTAAAGAAAAATGTTAGGTTAATGGTGAGTCGTCTCATCCAGAGTGGGTCGATACCTAGAGTTATACACCTTGATGTGTAGTCCTTTTCGCAGTCAAATCCTAGTAGTTTAGACGTGAAGTATCGTTGGACACTTTCTATTTTAAGCCTGTCACTTACGCGAGTGCTGCTGAGAATAAATGGACAATATTCAAGTAGTGGTCTGACACAAGTTTTATATAATAATAGTTTCGCTTCGTAGTTGTGGAAATTCCTGAGTATGCATCCTAAGAGCATCCTCGATTTACGCGTGTGTGTTGCCACTTGCTCAGAAAATGTCAAGTCACTAGAGTACCTGAGTCCTAGGTCAACAACACTTTGGAGTCTAGGCAAGGCAATAGATTCAAGTACCAGTTTAATATTTATTGAGGGTGCACCGAAGCATATCCAACCACATTTTTTAAGGTTGAATTTTAGGTTCCATGTGGAGGACCATGCAGTTACTCGATCTAGTTCTTCCTGAACAGCTTTCTGAAAGTACCCTAAGTCATCACAGTGGAGTGTGTAAGCTACTTTAAGATCATCTGCAAAGATGAATGGTTTACCAAGTGAGAAACAGCTGCATATGTCGTTGACATATAGAGTGAATAGGAGGGGGCCTAAGACGATACCTTGAACTACACCAGAAGTGACTGGACTAGGTTTAGAGTTTACAGAACGCAGTCTAACTACTTGGGACGTATTGTTAAGGAATGATTCAATCCATCCTAATAATGGGTTACGTATTCCTAAGGAGTTTAGCTTATTTATTAGAAGCAAATGGTCAACGCGGTCAAAGGCTTTGGAGATGTCGAAGTAGATGACAAGTACTAGCTGTTGTTTGTCACGGCTGCTAGTTATGTAGTTAAAGAAGTCAAGGTGACATGTCATGCATGATCTGGATTTTGGGAATCCATGTTGGTTTGGACTTAGAATATTGCAGCTGAGCATATGTTTGAGGATATCATCTTTAACTATTTGTTCAATGATTCTAGGTACTATGGGTGTAATATTGATTGGCCTATAGTTGTTGACTTCAGTTTTTGATCCGGATTTGTGTTTAGGTACTATAAATGTGGTTTTCCATTTATCTGGATAGGTATGGCTTTCTAGGGACATTGTAAAGATCTTAAGTAATAAAACGGAAATGTCAGAACCACCGTGTTTATAAAGATACGATGGTATACCGTCAAAACCGGCACTACTAGAGCTTTTAAGAGTATTAACGGCTTGGTTAATATTAGAGTAAGTGAAATGAACTGTACTGATTTGTTTCAGCGTTGAAGATGAAGGGAGTTCTATTTTAGATTGTAAACCGAGAAGTGGACTTGTAGGCTTAATGTAGTTAGCTGCAAACGTCCCATTAAACAGTTCACACATGTCTGCATGGTTGCTGTATAGTTTGCCCTTGTTTATAAGGAGAGAAATCTTATGACTTTGGCGATTCATTGGTTTCTTTAGGATTTCAGTGAGAGCACCTACTCTGGTGGTGCTGGCTAGTGCCGTGCATTCTTCATTTCTCATACGCAAGTTATGAGCTTGCGAGATGGAGCTAAAAGTACTAAGTATTGACCCTAGTGTACTAAAGTCGTGTCGCCTGAAGTAACTTGTTGACGGTCTTTTCAGTTTCCTACGATCCTTTGGCTTTATGAATGTCTTTCTATGTGGGGAAAACTTTAGTGTTTGAAATGGGATGACAGCATCTAAGCATGTGTTGGAGTTATAGTAAAAGATGTCTAGAGCTTTCGAGAGGCTATCCAGTATAGAAGTACTCTCTCCATTCTGAGGATCTTAGCATTGATTTCACTAGAGTCCAGTCTGCCTTACTGTAGTTCCTGTAAGTTATTTGTTGTGAAGTAGGGGTATGGGTTGCATTGCTACTTGACGGAAGTGGCAGTGCACACAGCACTGTTTTGCGGTCACTCCCTGAAAACTCAGAACCTACTAGGGTAGAAAGGGGACTTATATTGTGGCAGAAGATTAAGTCTAGTACGTTATTACCTCTTGTAGGGGTTGTGACAGTCTGTTTCCAGCCAAGTATATCCAGTGTGCCTAAGAACTTATCGAATTTAGTTGGGCCTGTGGGTATTTCCCAGTTGATTTCTGGTAAATTAAAGTCTCCACATAGGATCTTATGATCGTAGTGGAGGGTGGATAATTGTTCTAGAGTGTTAATAAGTTGGGTCTCGTAATTACTAAAGGTGCCAGGTGCTCTGTAGGTGCATCCAATTAATACTATTGCGTTATTTAAGTGTAAGTTAACCCATAAAAGTCTCAGGCATGTTAAGTGTACTACTTTCTAGCCGTGATACAGTAATTACATTCAGAAAGTACATGAGACAACCCCCTCCCTTACCACCTTCACTGTCACACCGATAGTGTGTATAGTTATCTAAGCTTATCTCTTCATCCAGTATGTTCGAGTTACACCAGGATTCAGTGATGACAATTATAGGGGGTTTGTATATTACTGTGAGTGGTCTGAGCATCGGTAGTTTATTTAGAACGGATCTAGCATTTATGAGGATTAGGTAAAGATGAGATTTGAAATAGCATTTGAAGTACTTAAGTTCGTTAATCAGCCCCGAATGTGGTTCAGCACCCAGTAGTACTGTTTGACATGACGACCCTATGTTAAGAGGAGTTTCAACATCCAGCTCATCTATGTCTATCGAGTTGGTGTGTGCTGTTTTCGGTGAAGAATTGAGCGTTGGAGTACTGGATGTGCTATAGGCTAAGGCAATTTTATTTTTAGTTAAGCTAGAAACGGGGGTAGGGATCTTTATTTGACCTAAACTTGTGCATGTACCAAGTGTGCTTAGTGGATGCAGGCGAACTAGACTGTTCCTACATTCATGCAAAGGGGGAGCCAGCACTAGCGGTTTAGGAGTGTTAGCATCCCTACCAGCTGTTTTTTCAACGCTGAGAGGGACGCAGAGGATAAAAAATGATTGGGACCTTGTGAAGACCATGGTCTATTATTCCACCTATTGTTAGGTACTAGTGGTGTCCTTGTAAGGGTTTCGAATGTACTGCTTTGTGGGTTAGTTCCCAGCAGGCTTGTACCGTATATCCTATCAAAATTTATTAGCGTGCCATACTGTGAATGCCCTGAGTTGTTGGTGGTCGAGTTCTGACTATTGTCACTTGTACTCTTGAGGGTGGCATTATTTTGGCGTTGGTTATCAGTATGTGCCATGGTGCTATTTCGCACGTTGAGGGTGCCAATACTATTGACCATGGGGAATGTGGGCTTACTTATACTGCCATTGTTGTTGTTGGCATGATTTGGAGTCATATTCTCCTTTTTTTACCAATGGACTTATGGCTAGGAGAGGACAGGGTCGACTTTCGGGGGATTTTGACTTTTTTCGGGGATTATTTGGTGACATGTCTAAATCTACGGTGGTAGGTGGTATAGTTTTATTGGCTATTCGATTACAATTTAGTGGCCTTTCGGTTGGTGTCGCTCTCTGAGAGGATAATTCTGTGTGGTTTGAGAGGGGTGGTGCGGTGGATTCTACGGTATCTCTCAAAGGGTTGGGTATAATTGCTGCTTGCAATGTCCTATTGTTTATTCCAGAATTAGACTCAGTGTGATAACTATATACGCGCCTTTCTATGACGGTCTTGTCCACCGTGACCTTTATTAGTTTGTAATTTCTGGCTTGCGATAGGGTGTGTTGGGAGTGGATGAATTTTCTGGCCTCTGCCGGTGTTTCGAACTGAAAACGAATAGGACAACACTTTTCATGTTGACTCTTCTTCAGCCTGTAGCACTTAGTCTTGGAGTTGGGCATTTTCGCCTCACTAAGTAAGATGCGCTGTGCCCTTTTTAGTGCCTCATTGTCCGGAACGTTGTAGACAATAGTATTTAGTTTAGCGTCGAGTCGTTTTGTTACTTCTGTAGTAACAAAGTTTATGAGGTTATCCACCTTAGATATCGATTCACTGTCAAGTTTGTTAAGGTCTACAGTTTTCATGAGAATAGTTAAAGGTGTCAGTTCACAGACCTGCAGTCTGATATCACTGATCTGACCTGATAAATTGGAGATTTTGGTATTGGTATCGGAAATTCCAGGATCTACTGACTTATTGTTTTTTAAGTCCCTTAACTCGGCCTTAAGTTCTCCTATAGACAACTTTAGAAGTTCTATTTCTGAAGATAGTACTGAAACAGAGCTTGAAGGCTGGAGCTTTTCGATAAGCACATAAGGTGTAGGGAGGGTTTCTGTATGAGCAGAGGGTACTGAATTTTTGGGAGTAGTGCTAATACTAGCTGTCAGTATAGTTTTATCCTCAGTTTCAGCTCGACGCTTACGACACACAAGTGAGTTTTGTGGCTCACTATAACCATTTGTAGGAAGTATGTTGCTTGATGTAGCAATCAACGACTTAAAATTAGTCATCAGTTTTACAGGGGATTGAGTTCGCTGCTTGTTACTTTGGTTAACCATAACTATTTGATATGAGAGTTAATAGTTATAGGTATGGAAGTAGTAGAGGACTTGTGCAAGGATTACAACAAGATAAATTTTATGTAACGAATCACGCAAAAATGTAACGCAAACGTTGGACGTACCGCTACTTTATATATTTTCTGATTTCATTTGTGCTTGTATTTCATACCCTTCGGAAGTGACGGACAAATATACTGTCTCCAAACATCTTGGACGGTTAGTATTGCTTGCGTCTAATAATTAACATGATTGCAGAAGTGCTTTTGGGGAAGTTAGGCTAGCATTTGATAAAGAGTACTGTGAAAAATACGCAATAAAAATAGTTCAGAAGAAGAACTTTTCCATCCTGTCAAAATTTGGCAAGGTATGTTACTTTCCATTACGTTTCTCGAAGAATTAGCCTTTTACCGGTTCTGTCGCCGCTGAAGTGGATATATTGATGCGTCTAGACCATGTAAGTTTTCTTGAAATTGGTATGTGTTTATTATGTGATTGATTGTCCTGTTTTATTTATATAAATATACATAATAAAATGTTTCCGGAAGTTTATATTTGAGAAGAATGGTAGATTACCCATAACCTTAATACTTGTGTGTGATAAAAGGCTTATATCTTCATTTCTCAACTGTTTTATCATGCGATGGAATCCTAATATAGAAACAACAAAATGTATTAGGTATAATATGTGGAGTTTGTTCATTATATTACGGTCCCGCTCCGTTTCGCGTTGCCTTTAGTTATTCGGATTCTACTATCTACAATTTTTGGGATTTACTCACTGCAGTCAAAATGATTTTATTTCCTCTTTTTCATTTCTGTAAAACTCACTATCAGTAATCGAGTAAGTTTAATGCCTAATGGAATAGGTAGATATAGTTCACTAAAACTATCATGAAGTCGTACTCAGGTGTAAGCGGTGATTTCTGTGAAACTTAACGATAACCCAAAACATATTTAGCCAGTTCTTGTCTGTTATATAATTCCCATTACTGTATTTACTTAAAGTGCTTTTCAAGTACTTGGTTTGAAATTTATGAGATATCTAGCCTTAATCAGGTTACATGTTAGCATGTACCCCAACATTCCAAAATATTAGTCGTTTCTATGTATGGCCAATATACTGCTATAAAGTGAGATACAAAATATTTCTTTATTGGTTTTCACTCTGACAATTTACAAAAATGCGTTGTATATGCACAATAAAGGCACACACACCGTAGAAATTGTAGCCACATTTAAATTTTCAGTGGTCTTTGTAAATTAATGAGTTTGCAGTGTAGAACTATGCACGAAATGCAGCATTTAAAGTTATCGTACACCACAAAGTAAACAGATGCTTGGAAAAAACTCAGGTGAAAAAGTAAGAAACAATAATTATGTGGTGGAACATAAAGGCTTAATGAGTCTGGTAGTTAAGATCATTGAGAGCATTTTCAAGCCGCATCAACAACCTCAACTCATTGGTTCTTAGTATCTCAAGGGCTCCAGCCAGGCGGTCTTCACCTCCCCACGTGGCCCAAACGAAAAGTCAAGGACTTCACAGATTGAGGCCAGGTTTTGATTTGACTTCCTCTAACTCTTCCAACTTAGTCCGATGTCACCTAACATTTCTCGACGAGCAATGGGATGGATTGACATGTGTAAAACGTGTCCTAGCCATCTCAGTCATTGTAGCCGTACATCCACATTGGCTAAATTGCCCTCCTTACCTAATCTCAGTATTACTCACTATGTAACAGTTGACATAGTAGACAAAATGTAAACAACCATAGTCATATATAGCTAGCCTCTTCAGGTCTCTCACTCTTAAAAACCACGTCTCACAGTCATAAGGGAGGACAAATCGAACTACTGCGCAGTATACACCTTCAACTGATAGCCGGATATCACATATGCACTTAGGATGACGTAAGTCAGCAAATACAACATGAACCATTTGTACCCTTGTTGAGATTTCGTGAACAATCAGTCTATCAGGGTTGATTCAACTTCCCAAATAAGCGAAGTGGTTAATACGCTTAACCACTTCACTTCCTATCTTTGATTCGCAATGTTTGCATAACTATAATTGGACCTTCGAAGATTTACATAAGTTGGTTATATCTTAATCTAACAAAATATCTTCATCTTTCAATATATTGTTGATTAAATTCTATCCTAATTGACAATTTTCTTTGCCAGCCCTTCATCATTCAAATTTACGATGTGATGGATACACCAGAAGCTCTGTATATGGTTCTTGAACTGTAGGAAAAACTGTTCTAAATAGCCTTCATAACTGTATTTTAGTGTCGAGGGCGGTGAACTTTTTGATCGCATTGTTTCACTTGGCCAACTAAATGAATTGGACTCAAAGTTTTTCTTTCTCCAAATGGCTATGGCTGTTGAGGTAAGCAATGAACTAGTATTATCTACCCACAAAATCACTTTAGTTTTTCCATATTAGTTTGTTTATTAGGTATATCACACAGTGAAACAGTATTATTTACTGGATGACGTTTTGAACAAAATTTATTGTTCATAATCATATCAATTGTGATCACACGACTTTGACACTTGAGTTTTATAGTTTTCTTTGTTCTCCCCCATTTGTCGTATGGGTAGTAGAATTTTCCAAATGTCGGGGACAGGTGATGAATCATTCCTATTACATGTATTTGTAGTTGATTCGATAAACAAAGCTTCTGTTATCAATCTCTCCCTATACCCTGTGACATTAGATTTTAAAACTGTCATCCTATCCCATCCTATTGTATGGTTGTGTGTGACTGCATGTAGTGCTATAGCTGAATTATTCTCTAGATTTCTTATCTTATTCGGGTCAACCAATCTAGATTTTGCTAAGCTTTTATGTTCAGCTAGTCTGACTGCCCCTGTTCTACTAGTTTGACCTATGTATTTGACCTGACAATCATTGCAGGGTATTAGATAAACTAAATTGTTTTGTTTTAAAGGCTCTACAGGATCCTTTAACCGACAAAGCTTGTTTCTAATTGAGTTTGTGGGTTTGAATGCCGTTTTTATTCCTGCCTTGTTAAGGATTCTGCGTAAGGCTTCCGAGGTTCCTTCCTTGTATGGAATTACTACTGATGATTTAGATTCTTTATTGTTGGTGTCGTCATTAATATTATTATTATTATCATTATCATTATTATTGTTATTATCACTATCGCTACTATCATTATTTATTTTATTTTTACTTTTCTTTACATATTTCCTGACTAATTTATCCGGGTAATTATTAAGTTTTAAGGCTTCTTTTATGTGTGTTAGTTCCTGTTTTAGATTTTCTTTGGTACTGCTTAATTTTTGGGCTCTGTCATTTAAACATTTCACCAATCCTATTTTTACTGACATAGGATGGGATGATCGGAAGTCCAAATATCTGTTGGAGTGTGTGGGTTTCCTGTACACACTAGTGTTTACCTTCCCATCTTCTTTCCTCTTTACCTTACAATCTAACATTGGGAGCTCCCCTCCCTGATTTTCCAATTCATAAGTGAATTGAATTGCTTCAATCTTAGAGTTGATATGTTCGAAAAACCTATCTATATCTTGTGTTCTAAGTACAGTGAATGTGTCGTCTACGTACCTCCACCATACTTTTGGGGTGGGGGTGAACGTTTTAATCGCTATGCTTTCCCACTTATCCATGAATATATCTGCTACCACTGGGGATATTGGTGATCCCATGGCAACTCCCTCAGTTTGTTTGTATATTTTCCCTTGGAATTTAAATTCTGTGGAAGTCAGGCATAGCTGTACTCCCAGCATTATGTCCTCAAGTGGCACTTTTATCCTAAGTTCGAGTTCTTGGTCAGAAATGAGTTCGTTTCTGACTGCCTCTATAGCCATATTTATTGGTATACGTGTGTATAAACTGACTATGTCAAAACTAACCATTTTTTCTTCATTATCTAATTTTAAATTATCTAATCTACGTTTGAGTTCATAAGAATTAGTTAGTCTAGATTTCGAGTGGATTTTTAGGGGATTTAATACCATGGCTAAATATTTAGATAATTCATAAGTAGGTGAATTTCTAAAATCAACTATAGGCCTAATAGGGTATCCTGACTTATGAACTTTAACAACACCATACATCCTACTGGGGTTATTAGTTTTGGGCATTAAATTAAACCACTTAGACTCACCTAGAAACGGCTTCATTCGGCGTATAAGATCCGCTGTGGATTTCTTAACTTTATTCATAACTGTATCAATTGGTTTATTAATTTCCTCATATGGTCCTGTTCATATGTGAGTGTTTAGTTTTCTTTCGATGTTCATTTCAGTCTAGACTTTAGTTTTTTGTCTCATAATTCTACTCGAACTACCTTAATTCCTTTTACTTTATCTTTAAAAAGTTGAAAGTCGATAAATATAATGTTTTCATTGATATTTGTAAACATTTATTTAACCATACTAGCCATAAGGTTAGCGTTATCCCTTCGATTAATTGAGATTTTGTCAGATTTTGAAATATTTCAGTAGATATAGTTCTAATGGTTCCCTTGTTCAAGTGAGCCACGTGTTTTTACTTGTTTTTCTGTAATATGAACATAACAAAAACAGTGGTCTGAGCAAAGTCTATGTAGAATGAGCAATACTTAAATTTCAATTGTTTTGCTTTATTCAAATTCATAAAGAGAAATAAGTTTAGGAATTTTCTGATCGAACTCGTCATTAGCACTAAATAGACATGTTAATTGGTTGCTACGCTGATATCAGAATAGTAGCCAACTGGTTGTTACTGGTTCATTCTTACAAGATGAACTCACTGCAGAATTTTCTCATAAACTTTAGCTAAAAGACCTTAAAAACTTCTGATCACTTTCGATTTTTACTATGGGTAAAATTTATTTTGATAAAGTATCACAGTGTTTTACGGTAATATTTACTGATGACGTTTCGAGCACAATTTATTGCTCGTAATCATATCAAGGCTACGATAAATTTTACCCATAATGGAATTATACTCTACCACAGTGCACAAGTTCTATTCTTATATCACTTTCGATTTTGTGATCTCTGGTATTTTTACTTTATTTAAATTGCCTGCTTTGTCTTCAACTCGGAGAGAATAGTCCCTACATCATCGCTACCATTATTGTGTCGGTTTTAGTTATGTTTTCACTTCGTTTCTAGTCGTGATGAACTTTATTCTCATTGGTGCATATACAGTTTCCAGGTCTGTTTATTTCTTTATTCTGAGTTGATCAATTAATCCCACTAACTCATTAGAAATATCAGACTCCCATTTAATGTTCAGTACTCTACAGACTGATCAGTAACTGACTTATCAACATAAAACCGCACAAAATTGCACCATATTACTGCACTCAATACAAAGATTGAAAAAAAGTGTATGTGTGGTCGAAACTGCTAACCTCATCATATCTCCCACTTTCGATAGATGCATCTAACGGGTGTGAAGAAGAATGAGCTGCGGTGCTTCACAAGATGCACATCATTTGTTGGGTAACAGTGTATCTCACGGGCCCTCAAAATGCAAATACCAAACCAGCCTAATGTATTCCTGATGACATTTTGTAACCAGACAGTTCAATGGAGTTGATGCATTCCCTAAATAATTGCAGTGACAAAGACACTGCCATTCTACTCCTTACTGGAAACTAGCGCAAACCAGTCTAATAGCATCTTGCATATGTCAGGGTTAAATCGCATCCCGAACATAGTTGAATTTTTTGGTCAACATGTTCAAATGACTACATATCGTCAGTGTCTTCAGTTGAATTGGTTGTGTAGTATATGTACTCTGACACAACGAGACATTTTTCCTTGACAGTGAGTCCACTCCTCGAAAGTCGAAGTCAACTAAAGTCACATCCATTAGAGCACTTATATTGAATTTAAATAAAAATAATAACGGTGAGCATCGCCGATAGATATCACTAATTGTCATCGCTTCGGGGAACTCCTCTTCATAAGTTCTTACACAACTACTTTAGAGCAGTACACCATACTTTCTAGACGCCTCATTCATAGCCACATATTGAGATTTTCATGACTTTTCGTCTTACAGTTTACTGATTTCTCAGTGAATTTTTCAGCATCACTATACGCAATGATATGAAGCTTATACTTTTTCTCTATTTGCCTGTTTTGTTTTTTCTCAATTCAACCTTCAAAGTATCTGCACAATCATGGAATTACACATCGCGATTTAAAGGTAATGTTAACAATGATTATATATGCTCGTTTTCTATTACTGTCATATGACTCTTAATTTTTATAACAACACTTTTCACTTATTGTCCATCAAAAATGAACAAGTTTAAGTACTTTCTTTATTTTATGAAAAAAGAACACGTTTGGGATTTCGTCAGTGAGAATACTGCTTGGTTTTTTGTTTCACTTAAGTAGTTAGTCTTGCTAAAATTTACTAAAACAAAGACTGATTACATAACTCGGTAACCATTTAAGAATGTGTACACTTGGTGTATTATGGCAACAGTACCAGGTAGTTTTCGAGAACAAAGTATTTATAATAGATTCACATTAGTTACTCAGTTGTTGAGAATCAAATGTATTAGTCATCATGTTATTCAGGTATTATTCACTAATGACTATGCTTCGATAGGATTAGGAAAGCACTGTGATTGCTTTCATGTCTTGTTCATGATTCAAGAAATCCTTTTTAAAGAAAATATTTAAAGTAAGCAGGGTTTTTCATAACTTAAAGGAGTTTCACAGGCAGAGGTCAAGTTATATAATTATATTTACTAGACAAGAGTAGACATATCACAAAACTGGTACGGCCGACGGTGAATAGACTAGGATCTTCTCGAAATGCTGTCATGTTGCCACGCATTCATAGCCTCTGCCAGGTAAATCCTATTCACTGCCTTCATACGGTAAGGGTGTTCTTCATAAAAGTTAAACAACGAATGCGAAAGTCTGGTGCTTACAGTTGGACTGGTGGATATTCAGGTTTATATGGGGGAGCTGAAAGACCCTGATTCCAAACATGTGGTTGCCAGCAACCATTGGAACGTAGCTCCTGATTCTGTAAACCAGACTTCGAGTCGAAGACTTGGGGATGGCGCCTTAAGACAAACGTCTGCGTCATCATTCCTCAACTTCATAAGGAAAGACGCTGAAAAAGATTCAAAGAAGTGTAGGGAGGGTCATTCCAAGCCTTTTAGACGAAGGATGCAACAAAACGTTGTAGAAATCGAATCTCTTCACACCTTGTTACCTTCGAGTTAATTACAATTTCACCAAATACAACAATAGCTACTGAGTCAAGGTTATCGCGCTAAAAATTTATTACTACGTATCTCATGGTAGCTCGCGAAGTATCTCTCACCAAGAGGTAACAACATGATTGCGCCCCAAACTCTTTCCTCTTCCCCCATGTCGAATGAACAGTTAAGAAACTATCAATAACGCCATCGAGAATTGTTGCTGTTGGCAGGAGACAGCTCTGCCGAACGGTGTAGTGCTTGATAACAAACCGAACTTCAGTGCGATTTGAGATAAATGGCAAACAGGAAAATCGAAGATTAACCGCCCGGCTAACACTAAACCAGTAGATCTAAGCTAATTATGCAAAAGTTTGATCACCGAGTTTACAGGTAGTCACTATAAATATACCACAGAAAAGCCTACAAGTGAGCTTCAATACAGAACACATTGCGAGAAGTAATGAATACACTTAACCGATAAGAAGATTCTAAAACATCCAGTTTAACAAGCAGTCTAAGACTTACAGGCAAAAATTAACGAACTGCTCGAGAAGGCAGAGAAGACAGGACCTCAAGTAAACATAGAGAAGATGCAGGTGATTGAAGTAACCAACGAACACTAGGCACCAATCACTAACGATAAAAGAAATTTGAAAGAGGTCACTTCCTTCACCTGTCTAAGAAGCATCGTCTCAACCACAGACGTAAATGATGGAGACATCAAAACCGGAACCGGAGAGATACGATAGATCGTCGTCACTTTGAAATAAGCGTGGAAATCCTATGCACTAAAAATAAAGAACAAAATTTGAATCTTCAACACCGGCGTTCGATAAGTTCTTCCATATAGGTCAGAGACTTGACTCGGATGTCACTAAAAGCATTTCGAAAATGTTACTGTAGACTTCCGTCAGTGACTGCCTTTGCTGACTGAAGAGTAGGTGGCCAGAGAGAATTAGCAACAAGAAACTATGGAACGAGTCAACCAAGAACCGATTGCTCAACAAATGTTCTGAGGGAAACAAAGGTGGATCGGACAAACACTGCTTAGACCTTCTAATGACGTCTCGCATCAGGTTCTCGAGTGGAACGTGGATGGGCAACGGCAAACTGGGAGTTGGTCCAAAGGTGATATGGGGGAGGTCGTGCTCGGAGGAGATGATAGACCCTGAGCAATCTTGCGGCTCGCTGAAGGGGACCTCAGAGAATAGAAAACCTTATGATCCATTTGGAACTCAAGAGAACAATAAAATAATGAACAGCATACATCAACACTTTTGACAGTATTATTCTAGCCTTCCGTCAGCTAGCAAACGTTGAGTTCACAGTGAGATTGTTGCCTGCTGAGAATACGAAATTAGTTAGAATCGCAAGGTTACTGGGTATCCATTCAAAGTTAACCAACACTGAAATCCTCTGAAATGCATTGCTTCTCTACTGCTAGCTGATATCTGTAAATACTGGCTTAGTAATAGTACAGTGACATAACAGTCGTAATCAGACGGAGCTGTTCTCCAGACGAGCATCTCTGTGCGACTGAACTCGACGCATCGGTCCACTAACTACAGTCTACATTTCTCTCATTCTTTTTAAAACAATTAATTCCCTTTATGAATTCAGATGAAGCAATAAGAAGACGTGATTTGTCTGTATCGTGTAGTGCCTTTGCACAAAACATTTCGAACAATCTGATCACACACGGAATTGTCATAGGAATATATATATGAAATTAATAAAGAGTTAGGAGGTGAGAAAGTAAACTTAGGTCAAGCTCAAAGGACATATTGAAGGTCAAAATGACAATGATCACCAGACCAATTAGGAGAGGTAATAGTAAATCTGCTCTGGTATCAAGACAAAGTTTGCCAAGGAAGGTTTAGTGTGATGACGGACTGTTTTTGAAGACATTATTGTGGCTTAAACTTCCTAATCGCTAGCTAGAGTTTTCACAAACTTTAGGACACTCCCGAAACCTATTTTATAAATAGGTTTAAAAGACATGTAAACATCAATTCTATGTCCTTTCCCTAAAATATATTCATCAGTAGAGGATCTAAGTCTCCTGTTCTCACCATCAATTGGTTCTGAAGATTACATTTGTTTCTGGAGCCATTTAGGAATATGCTTTCAAGCCATTACTTGAAGAGATCGAAACGTCCTCCTTATGCATGCGTGTCAACACTCACGTTCGAATCGGTGAACACAGTAGGATGTGACATCATTTTTTGCATGTTCAAATGGCTCAGACAGATATTTAGATGGTTAGGGTGTTGACGTTCACGGATAGTACGAAGTATACTAACACAAGATCTAGTACCCATAGCTTCTGTAGTATTCGTTTCATGTGGACCAAAGGTAAAGCGAAACAACAGATTTAATCCGCCAAATCTCGAACTATATTTCGGGACCGAATCGAAGTGTGAGATGATTGTTAAACTAGTCAGGGATCGTGCACGAACGAACGTAATACGACAGCGTACTAAATGGCGTGGATGCTTGACCGGAAGCCTTCAGCTAAACAAGTCGACTTAAACAGTGAGGTTCAGCATCCAGTGTTCAGTGATGAATGCTGTGTCCAATAATTCCGGGGAATTACCTACCCCTACAGATATATTGGCTTCACATTTGCAATTATTATGATATTAGCTGCATAGAATGTCTTTTTGTTCACTGGTTTACTGTTTGCTTACTTTTCTTTTCCCTGCCATCTTCATTGTTCTTGTCGTCGTCATCACTAAATGATTCTTTACAAATTTATTGGTTTTCTAACCGGTGAATTAACCAACTTAGATAACAGTAGCATCGGTGGTTCAATGGTAGAATGCTCGCCTGCCACGCGGGCGGTCCGGGTTCGATTCCCGGCCGACGTACTCCGCTTTGTGCATCGGTGGCACAGTGGCTAGGACTCTCGCCGACCATGCACATGGTACGGGGTTCGATCCCCTGCCGACGCACACCCGATGTCTATGGTCGGCCTGCAAAATTTGGGCTACCGATATCCATGCTGAAAATTCCATACTTGTACCGAAAATACGGTGTGTCATCAAGCTGTGATCAAAAATAAAATAAATAAATAAATCATGATCTTAACCGAGGCCACGAGCTACCTTTCAAATTGATTGTGATTAACTTCCCTACTTAGGCATTAAGAAGCCAGAAGGAACTGAAGAAAACAAGTGAGCCTCAGGAACTCTTCCCCACACAATTAAGTGTAAAGAAATCATTTTATTTTGTATCAACTCGTAAAACATTAATATGTTGAACATTGATTCGGTCGAAAATGGAGTGTCTGACTGATTGATTTTGCAATACATCGGATTTTCAGGAAGAATCGATAAGGTCTGACTTAGCGTTTACGAAAACTAATATAAGCTGAGAATTTTGGGCATGTTTGTTTGTTTACATTCAAGTCACCATATTTTTTGATATTCATTGTTGCGCTACGCTGTCAGGTAAATTGACAAAGGTATAGTGTCGGAGTACTGAGTGTTGACGCTTCCTTTGTACCATGGGTTACAGTTATAGTGTAAAAGCTCTTTCCTAGAGGCTTTTGAGATACGGAAATGCGATCCAGAAAGAACGATATCAGGTAACTAACAGTATTGTGCATTTTTGTAATAAGTTGCATCAGAGTTTCTCGAAAATTCGTTCCAAATCCCATAGCAATAAAACCGGAAATAAGAGGCAGATGTATTAGACCCACAAGGTATGATCACATTTCAAACTCGAATTGTAGGAGTACAAAACCCAGTTTAAGGGATGGAGTGATTGAAGAAACATCAACTTTGTAAGTTACAGTTTGTATGGTTGACCGTGTTGATTAAGGAACCATGATGGTGAGAATGACAGCACTAAAGGTAGTCGCATGTCTACTAGCAAGAAAACTGTTGGCTCCAGTAGAATGGGGTCTACTCAAAAACTGAAAGTGTTGTCTGAGTCGAAGCAGAGGCGCAATGAGTTCGATGATAACTCTTTAGTTTCTCCGGATCAGAAGCGCAAACGGTCAGGAGCTGAAAATTACATCAACAAAAGGTTCCTGTACGACGTTGTAGAACCACCGAAACGTCGACAGAAAAAGTTCCTGCATTTCTCAGATCGGTCAACAGCTGCTCTCATGGCTGTTTCATCTGCTAATCTGCTTAGAAGACACAAGTCTAAGACCAGGGTCTCTAGGCAGCAATCAGGTGGTCGTGACCTGTTCTCACATGTGCGAAGTCGGCACGGACGCCGCCTAAAGCCGAAGCATGACTATAGTCCTTCTCAATCAGATAATGAGCATTCTGTGTACAATCCGTCTTTCGTCGCGGACAGCCGGCGGCGTATCAGAAAGAAAGTCTTGGCTCCCACAGTGAAACCACGGTTAAATTCCAAGTTGGAACGTAATAACTGGCCAAGAAGTAATGAATGCAACAAAGACTTTTACTCATCCGATGAACAAGATGACGATGAACTCGATGTAATCATTTCTCCTAAAGATTATGTAAGTTTTCTAATTAAATCTTCGTACAACTGCAGCAGATAATGTGGAAATTTTTATATATTTCGCATCAAAAACATTTTTAGAGTAGCTTGTTCGCTTGTGAAATCATTTTGGCCTTAGCAGTAGGGTCTGTGTTTTTTATCTCCTTGAAGTAGATGACGGAATTTTAATGTCTGTAATTTTCCATAGGTTATTTGCTGTGTATAACTAGTTTCCCGTGTTAGCAGGTCAGAGTTCAATATTGGCACATTGCCTTAAACAAGTGAAACAGAATTCCTAAATGTAGATGATCCCGATTTCGTTGCAAAATGGTACCGACTGACGCTATTAGTTTGCAGCTACACATGACAGTGGTATTTATATTCAATACTTTGAATTGTTTTTAGGTGCATACATATCTCACCGTTACCATTATGCATATGATTTGCTTCTTTGTCTGAGCACTTCATGTGTGTGATCGGTTGGGAGTGTACAGATACATGTAGCAACAGGACCACTGTAGTTGGTTTTCTGTTACCTGTTTCATATGGAACCAGTTGGAACATTGGATATGGACGATAAATGGGAGAACAGGAGTCGTCGTTACATTGTTTGCTAGTTCCTGCATACGTTTTAGTTCACTCAATTATCTGCTTACTTCTGACTTCACCTCTCCTCAACAACCTTCCAGAGTCCTGTGTTTATAATTTGGAAGCGATGTAATTAGTTATATTGTTGGTATATCAGTGCATCGCATCCTTGTAAGTGGTGACTGACGCCGTTGACCAATAAGTACGTTGCATCATGTTTCCATAGAAAAGAGTGCGAGTGAATACACACCAATGTTGGGCGGTGATAATCTGCAGTTCTTCTGTCCTTAGTTTCTAAGTAAAGAGTTACATTCCGAATAAGTTACGACTCTGTAGTGGTTTTCAGCACTCCTGTAATGTAAGTCCTGACAGTTTCCATCTTTTAATTGTTGGGACCTGACATCATGTTAAGGTCTATTCAGGCAGTAAACCGCGTCTCTTATGCATGAACTGATGATTCCAGTAGACATATTGAAATGTCATTCAAAACTGATTTCCAGTATATAGTATTATTCATGAGAAATGTTATTTGCATCTTAGTGTAGAATGAGACTGTTTAGCACATCTATTGATGGGTATACTTTGTCCTAAATAAACAAAATGTAACTCGGACACAATTTCATGTATGTAGGCTGAAGTCTTTGTTGACTGACTACTATTTTCAGTTGAACGAGTCGCATAACAGCCTCATACGAATTGTCGACATATTATACTGAACAATGCACAGTAGTATAGCTTTTGGCTGACCTTTCCTAGCGGGAAGAATCTCAGGGGAACTAATTAGAACACAAATAAGTGAGGGTAGATACATCTCGAGTTTCGATTTTGATATGCGTGACGCCGCAACTTACTGTCAAGCTGTCACTCGAAACCTAAACCCCTATTATTCTTCAGTGTCATCATATCCAACCTGCATAGTCGAGATCAATCCTATGACTTCATGAAATATTGACATCTTTACTCCCGAATACAACGTTTGTTTTAGCCGAATACTACCACACCCAGTAGTAAGTCGGGTTGAACAGTCACAAGTATGTGTCAGTCGCCGTAGTCATGGGTTTGAAGTTTCGTTGGTCTAGATGTTTTTCCACCAAGAATTGTTAACTTCTGATAGCTACTTTATAGTTCAACTACTCATGAACGGTGCTACTAGAACATTCGGCACATTACATTTGATCACCTCTGGACATTCAAAAGTTGCATCGATTTCCTGCAGAAAAATTGTGAGACTGTCTTGTTGGTAGTCGCTGGTCTGTCAATCTGTTTCCGTGGGAGCGATTTGTAGTATTAAATTTTTATTCCTAAAGTTACAATCGAAAGATTATCAAAACAAAGTATGTGCATGTTTTAGCAAAATGTACATGGTAGCTGGTGGTTAAGTAACTTAAATCAATGCACAATCGACGTCATCTTTGACCATTGAGCCTTAGTGCATAGGAGTGTGGTTACGTCCATTAGTGTAATTTGTGAATGGGGTTGGGTTGAAAGCCTTGTAACTTGCGTTAGAATGATCTTAACATTAATTGTACTTTCACGTATAAATCGCTACTTACTGTTTTGTAGTATGCCGGTGCATCGTGTCTACCAACTTATACTGATGTGTTCAATGACATTCAGAAAAGAGGAAATATTCCTCAAGACGAAACTTCAGATTTTGTGGACAACTATGGAAGACCGGATCCATGTGGACTTAAGAATCGCGTGAACTCAAGGCGTGTACTTAGTCCAAACAATAACCAAAAAGGTAGGTGGATTTTTTGAATAAAAGAATGAATATGGCTTAATGCTGGTTTAATTCTTATTGCGAAATTGAGCTACCTCTAGTTTTGTGGAGATTGTATGAAGTACCAGAATATTTCCGATTTTCCGTCTCATTTGTTTATATTGCTGCGATTGCCGTTGGGCTTCCAAAGCGAAAGACGTGGAAAAAGTATCGGCGCTAGGTAACACTAGGTAACTACTTATACCAATTATGTATACAGATTCTAAAAAGTCATAGGGTAGGTGAAACAATTTCCAAGAAGGGTGATGTTTTAACTACCTTTCAAGATAGGTGACTGGGACGTTGGATGCAACACTAAAATGATATTTAACTGACTTATCCCACACAAATGTGTGGGATGCTGGGCAACGGTACTGTAAACGTAATTTGGGTTGCAAAAGTTATCTAATTTGAAACGAGGCGAAGCAGCCGGATGTGACGACATAACCTCAGAGGTGTTTAAGGATGGTAGGGATGAAATAACGTCTAGGTTGACAAAGATGTCGGATAATGTGTGGGAATTAGAGATGGTCCTGTTGAGCTGGTGGTAATCTTTGATTATACCAGTTTATAAGAAGTCAGACAAGTCTTCATGTGATAATCACAGGAGGATTAGGTTGACTGACAATATCTACTGGTTTAGGTTGAATAAACGATGATTATGAGAAAAATTTATGAAGACCAGTCAAACTTTAGGTCATCGACCTGGGATACTGATTATATCTTCACCCTCTGACAGATTCTGAAAAATAAGCATGCTCGCCGTGTAGGACCTTATGGGGAGTTGTCATCTGAAGTGATCACAACCAGTGGTGTCCGTCAGTGATTTCCATTGTCTATTTCTTATTTAACTTAACTATATATTTTCGGATGGAATTGAGTCTGACTTAAGCGACTTAGGGATTGACTTGTAACCGGGGAACAGTCTTGTTGGCTTAGAATATGCTGTTGATATTGTTCTCCTAGGTGCAGACGCTGGTATAATGGAGTCTTATGAACATTTTGAGCAGAAATCTTCGAATATTTAGCATACCATTCGGTCTTGTCTAGTGTAAGATGATGCTGCAGGACTGGACTACAACTTTTAGCCTCGAGATAGGGAGTGAACTGACCACTTCACTCATTTGGGAAGTTGCATCAGACCTAATGAAATGATTTTAAATAGTTAGTTTGTAGGGATTTGATTTGTTTCAAGTTTGACCGCGTATTGATATCTTGGATTGATTGCTGCCGAAATCTCAGCACGAATACAAAAGACCTGTATAACACTCATTAACGTACGTCATTTCTGGAATAGACGTGATATCTAGAAATCGACCAAAAAACGTGTGTACTATGCAGGAAATTGCTCTAGCCTTCTCTATATCTATGAGACGCGGTTTTTAAGAATGGGAGACCTGAGGAGGTTAACTGTCTGACTACAAATGTCTGCGTGTTAATTTTTATTAAGTGGAGAGTAATGTTGAGATTATGCTTAGAGCTCTGGGTAAGGACGGGAGATCAGTGGATGAGGTTGTGCACCGATTGAAGTAAACAGGACACGTTTTACTCATGTCAATCCATTTCATTCCTCGTCGAGCAATGTTAGATAACATTGGACTAGATGATAAATGAGTTAGAGGTAGTCAAATCAAAACCTGGCCTCAATTTGTGAGGTCCTCGACTTTTGGTTTGAGCCACGTGGAGAGGTGCAGACTGTCTGGTTGGAGCCCTTGAAGTACTAAAAACTAATGAGGTCGTTGGTGATATGACTAAATTGTTGTCCATGGTGTTAACTCCCAGACTCATTAAGCCTTCACATTCCATCAAGTAGTTATGGTTTCTCTCGTACATTTTCGCCCACTATAGTTCACTTGAATTTTTTCCAAACCCTTGTGTCCTATATAAAGTGTGGTAACTTCAACTGCTGCACTTTTGCGCAATTTCTACGTTGAATACCCAGTCACTACCTGAAATCTGCACCGCACATACGATATTCGTATCTTATTCGTTTTGATGTAACCCCGGTGTTGGAATAAGATTTCAATAACAACTGAAGTGATGTTTTTCCTAATGTATTTCTTTTCATTTGCATTTGCACCATTCAGAGTCAGATCTGATTACGTCAATCCAAATATATATTCCTTGAGATACAAATCTTGTATCTATGCTTTAGAATACTGGTAGCTTGAGAATTTCTTTGCCAGTGGTTTTTATCAATAGTTCACATTTTGGCCATATCGGTCGCTTATCCGCGTTATAATTTATACTTTTCATTGTGATTTACATTTATGTTTTGCTAATCGAAGTTGCTGATTGAATGCAAGGCTTTACAAAAACCTAAGGGTAAAATGGAAGTAATTTTTGGTATATTTTCCAACTAGACAATGTTTTCCGATATCCATTCATTTAGTGTTGTGAGCGGTTTGCTTGATTATCTTCAGGATACTTTTTTAACTTATCTGATGCAAATTATTATTTCATAAGAAGTATTCATTGAAGCGTTTGCGTTTATTGAACAAAGTGGTTGAACAAATTAACTGAATAGCTTATTAACAAAAGCATTAGAGTAGTCAACGTAGAACTTTTGACATGAAGTTCATGAGTTCAAGGAGCTACACTTAGAAAAAGGCATACAGAAAGAAGAGAAATGATAATTGTGATATTACAGTATGCAGATATCAGTAGGGAACAAAGTAGTAATTAAAGGTTTGTAAAAAAGAATGGAAATTTCAACTATTGACAACTTTAAAAATTTAATACTTATCAAATAAGCAGTCTACATATATTTACATAGTTTGGATTAACAATCACATACTTCATGGATTGATATCATATTTTATCCAGATATCAGTTGTACACAGGTGAGTTTTTTTGATACTAGATGTCCGTGTATCTGTTGAAAGCAATTTACTAGACGACAATATTTTGCACTAAATGGCTCTGAAAAGTGGTCGGCAGTAGTGTCTCAGTTTTGATAAAAGGTACACATAAAGCGTCTTGATTTTATTGACAATCATGTTGCTTGGTGCTCTACCGTAAATAACTTTGCCCGCATCCAATATTTCATTTGACAATTTTCATCAGTCAGTTTGAAACAAAGGTATTTCTTTACTGTCAAAATCTTCGCACACTTATTTCAGTGACTCCTCGTGTTGACATTTGTGTTTGGTCCTCTTATACGTTTCTTAATAGCTCCTCAATTTTATTTTACAGGTCCCACAAACTCGTTTTTACATCCCCCAGTTTTCCGTGAAGATGGAATTTCTTCAGCAGTTGATCATCATCCCAGCGATATACTCGATTTTTGCGCAGGTTCAAACTCAGAACAGTTTTCACGTGGAGAAACAGCATCAGAGGAAATTAATGGACAGGAAGACGATGTAGGCTTAACAGAATCACGTGGACTTATAAGCAGACGCGTTCAGCAGGCTCAAGATGATCTGGAAGAAGACTTACTTGCCCCTGAACTTTCCTTAATCACGGGTCCTAGTACTGTGGCTAATCCTGATGGTATTTTGGTCTCAACTTTAACCGATACTGGAACAGTATTATCTTGTAGTTCAGCTTCTGGAAGCAGTCGAAGAAAATCTCCTGTTAGACCTATGCAGGTGCTTAGAACTGTATATACCTCTACATCAGCACCTACTATTGCCTCACCAGCCATGCTAGTCACAGGGTCAGAAAACAGGTACGTTTCGTTAATTTTGTGATTGTGACGCCAATGTAAAGTAGTTTTCAAGCTATCTGACCTTCATACTTTTCTCTTATTTTTAGCCCATTTGTTTTTACTTCATCAGTCGTCGCGAACACTATGTATACCAGACCTTCAGGAATAGAGCTTGGACATGATGGAGGAGATATGCTGCCATCTGGGATGTGTTCCGTCCTTCCTGATAACAATACACAATCATTTAATGAACCAAATCAATCTATGGAAAATAGTTTTAGCATGAGCATTTCTGATTTGAAGATTCACTCATTAGGTGACCAGTCACATCAAATTCCATCTTCTGCTCCACCTTCCACATTGACATCCCTCACTTCTGTTGCACAAGTTTCTGTTTCCTCTGATGGTGCTAGTGGATCCAAAGGGAATACTGCGGTATCATCAGGCTTGCTGCCATCGCTCCTTACTCAGTCAAACACGCGACCAGGTAATTTTCGTGGCATATATATATATATATTCATCTATTTCTAATCACTCACTCTATCTGTGCATGTCAAGTGTTAATACTGTTATGTGTGGGAATATTGTTTAACTTCCTGTTATGTTATGTTCTTAGCACTAAAGTTGAAAGAATTTGTTATTTCTAAAAAATGTAATGGCAGTAGTCTCTTGCATAAGTCCACTCAGTTTTAAGGCTTTTTGTTTTGACCTCAAACTTTTAATAACGTGAAACAGGATAACTTGTGCTTACTACATACTTCGTATTATAATTTCTGTGGTCGTATTTTATGTATTAAGCATAGACCTGTCCAATGCCCCTTACAATTTTTCACGATTGTGGAGGTTTATAGTTCGTGATATAGAAATTGATTCCGTTTGTGTTATAATCAATCATCACTGTATCTAAACAACTACTGACATGTTTATGGCTTTGTTGATTATACAAAGTAATTTATTTGAAGGGCTGTTCATTTCAGCGACTTATAATTCTCGTGTTATGGAATGGCATCTAAAAATGAAATAATTACCGAGACTATTTGAGTAGAGTCAGGGTATGTATCTAATTACTGTTTTGTAATTGATTTTTTCCCGATTTTCTGAAAATTTAGTTGGATATCCAGAAGGATCCCTTTTTTATTGTCGTAAAAATAACTAATTTTTCTGTTTATTTAAACTGCCAAAACCAAAAAAGATAATTTTAACAACACATTACAAAAATTTACTTCAATATTGAAAGATTACACCTAGCATGTTTATTATCACAGCTAATAATCCACTACATCACTTTTGTATAGGTATTGGTAATCGACTGTATCCTAAGTGTCCGACAGTTATATCACAGAAATAAACACAACTACAGGCTTGAAAAACCGTGTCACATACAGTTTATTTCACACCTTTGCCTTCTGAGTGGAACATATGGCTTCAAGCATGAGCTTTGAAGTTTCACTAGCTGTTTGTTACGCATCAGGGTTGCTAATCTCACTCCTAACCATCCGTCTTTAACAAGGTTATTACCGGAGAATTGAGGTTAAGAAGTGTGGTAACCAGGGGTTGAATCCCATATCACTTGCGAGCTTTCTACCGGTGAACTATCGACGCTCTCATCGTATACAGTGGTGAATATAGTTGTAGCCTTGGTTGTAATACTAACTAAAGCATCCGGTTATTCACTATGAATAGTTTAAAAAGACAATTGTGTACTGATAGTAAGTCATACATCAGTATTGTGCTTGCATTTCGAGTTATTTCTACCTTGCTTGAACCAATACGACATGTAGAAGTTAGATATACGTAACTTTGAAATATAGGGATTACTTTGGTGCAAAGTTGTTTGGACTGTTTAAAATTGCTTTCATTTCCTCCGTTCTTGTATACACAATGGGATATTCGTTTTGAGCGTTACAACTGATCTACTTTAATATACTAATTTGAAATTGTGTAATACTTTTCTATTTCCAGTCTCGGTTGTTCCACAGCCTATCATTTCTCGTGTTTTTATGGCACCAAGTACGACGCGTTCAGTGACGACTCCTGTTACGAAACCTGTTTTATCTGTTTCTCATCCCACTGTCAATTCAGTTTCTGCTCGACGGCGCCCAACGATTTTGAGACGAGCTCTGGGATCAGGCATTGGCGCACCTGCCAACTCCTTGATCACCTCACGCACAGGTGGTGACATTGTTTTCCCTTTTATATGCAAACAAATAAATATTTTTCATCAGTAGACTTGTATACTTGGTTAGGCTATTTTAATTAATCACCGACTATGTATTTTGTTGCCGTCAAATTGACTGTAAAATTACTCTCTTCCCCTACCGAATGTCCATAGCTTGAAAGTCATGGTTTCACCAGTATGGTGATAACGATTGTCTATGTATGAAAATATTTTGGCCGAAGCAAAACTATAGGCGGTATAATAATGACATTTTTTACTTTAGACGTAGGATATCTATTGGAATCCAAAATATTTATGTTAAATAAATGTATGATCATCCTAATGGGTCAATATTAAACGTAATTACGAAAATATAACTTCGATAAGATTGTTCATTTCACATATTTGACTTTTATAAATTGCAAAGTTATCAGGACTTATAAACATTTTAGGTAAAGAAGTGCAGGGCATTTCGAACACTGGTAACACAGTGATTGATTGAGTGGTTCAATTTGATGGCAGTTAGCATTTATTGTAGATCCAAATAAATCGTTTCTACAGTGATTTAATGATAGATACTAGAAGAGCAGTTTATGTATATCTCAGTGTTTTTTGTCATATAAGCTTCAGTTTTCTGAGAAAAAAGTTTTAGGTATCCATGTGAACGTCTTTTTCAAAGCAGGTTTACTTCGAAAGAAATGCCTATATTGGATAAGGACCATCATATATATATATATATATATATATATATATATTCCGAAATATCATCGGTAGAGATGTACTTCTGTAAAATCAGAATGGTTTTGTCTACTTTCTGACATTAAAAGGTCGCAGTTGGCCCAAGGCTTTAATCATTAAGTCACTGTAGATATCTGGAATTAACTTATCTTCGCTTCTTTATGAATACTTTTCTGTGTGTACTCTTAGGATTTCGATTAGTCGTAATATCCTGGTGGGTACTTTGTCTAAAGTATTATCCTGTATTGGTTTCGGGACTGCTAGCTAACCGAGAACCCTTCAGTGTGCTCAATTCTTATCAGTTTTATGTTTGCTGAAAATGATGGCAAGCGTTCTACAGTTGTTTTCATATTTTTAAATGATTTCACTCTTAAAATCGTTTTCTTTTACCTTCTAGTTTTTGAAACATCAAATACTGACTCTGATCAAACAACTTCATGTTCTAGCCGACCAGTTACTGTTTTCAACTCTAATGGTGCTTCACAGCAGCAAAAGCCTATTAGTTTAATAACTACAGAAGAGCCTGGACCCTCCACCAGTTTAAATACTGCAACCCCCAAACTACTACAGCTAGTTACCACATCGTCTACCCCTTCAGACTGTTTGAATCCCAATCAAACTGCCAGTGATCGTTTGTTTGGCAAGCGTCCTGCTGCTTACAACAAAGTTCCATCACATACGCCTACAACTGTACCAAATACATCCCAGAATTCCGGAACCATTCATCAAAGTCCAACACCGACAAGTAGGTTTTCATTTTTCATTTAGTCCTTAAGCATCTTTCGAATTCAAACATTGAGGCAGAATTTTCACGTAGTCACTATGATTGTTTGGATTTCAGATGTGCTCCTTGATTGTTGTTAAGACTATTTCTGTATGGTAGTGACCTGTTTCTACTGGAATAGGTTACAGTGATTTGTATAACTCTATTACAATTAGATTTACTTTATTTTGCACGAATCTTATCACATAGACCTGTTTTTTTTAAAAGTCTTTCTGTGTATTTCAAGTAATTCATTAGAGAATGATGAATACATAATATTACACTTGTACTTTTTCAGATACAAGCATTAACACTACAACTCCTTATCGTTATGCTGTTGTTCGAGGCTCTGCTGATGGAAAGCAGTATGTTTTAATAAGCAATCCCCGAGTAGTTGATCAGCCTGTGAGTTTTACTATATTGATTTGAATATGACAAACATATCTTAATCATAAATAATTGCAAAATATTCTAATAGACGTTGTCTGTTCTTTCTATAGGGGTTTTAAACTTATCCATATCCTTCAAGATTACACTGAGCGTGATATAAATTGCTTTTCCTCAATTTATAACTCAATTTTAAAAGCAGTATGGATTTGCAACAAAGAACTCTGGCAACGAACCAACCAAAAACATATTGCCCAACAAATATGCCAAAGAAAATGGAGATGAATCAGGTATACACACTGAGAAGATCGTTGAGTGACATCACGTGTTAGGCCCTCGAGTAGAACCTGAAAGCAAAATGACGAAGTGGATGTGCGTCATAGGATGGCATGTAGAAGATCACATGAGAAAGAGATGAAAGCTTATGGGCAATCATGGAACCAGCTAAAATGGACTGCAGAAAAGGGAGTGACATGTAGATCGGCTGTTGAAGCCTTATGTTTCCACTCGGAACCTAAGGGAATAATAATGGACGCTTCTGTCTAAGGAAATCGAAAGACTCTGCGAAACCTTTGTTGTGCACGGAAGCTTTACGATGAAAGTTTCGATTCAGTCTCAGATGCGTACCTAATTTCAGTCACGTGTGATATCTGGTGGTTAGCAGGTTTACAAAATTTGTCGTTCACTTGGGTAAGCTCGATCTGAGTTTCTTTTTTACTACTGCTACTAGGAGATCTGGATTTCGTGGAAGATTTATGTTTAATGTCACACAAACTCAAAGACTTGCAGGTGAACATTGAGAAGACGGGGATGATGAAGATAACCAACCAACAGAGATAACAAACAACACCAATCACTACCAACTGGAGAAACTTGAAAGAAGTCACTTGCTTCACTTATCCTGGAAGCATTGTTTCAACCACAGGCGGAATGGATAAAGATGTGAAGACCAGTCACAATTGTAAAGGCAAGATACATCTTAACCAATCTGAAATCGGTTCGGAAATCTCCTGCACTCAGCCAGCATAAAGAAAGAGATTCGAATTTTCAACACAAATGTAAGGTTAGTCAGTCAGTTATTCTATATGGGTCAGAAGCTTGCACTGCGCGTGGGTCACGAAAAGGATTTCCAACAAGTTACTGCAGACTTTTACCAACAGCTGCCTTCGCTGGCTGTATTGTGAAGATCAAAAATTGCCAGAATGAATTGGCAACAAGAAACTAACCAAGAACTTATCGTTTAACAAATATGTAGCAGAAAATGGAGATAGATAGGTCATACCATGAGGAGACCGTCGAATGACATCGCACGCAGTGTAGGTCATCGCTCAAGTGGAACCTGAATGGGAAACAACTCGTGAGTCGTCGGTGCGAGGGTAACATAAAGGAGGTAGTACGAGTAGGAGACGAAATTTTATGAGTAATCTTGGGCGCAGCTGAAGAGGAAAGCAGAGAATAGAACAAAGTAAAGATGTGTTTTTGAAACCCTATGTTCCATTGGGAACCAAAGGGAACAATAATACCACGTAGTATATTTTGTTTGTAGCATAACTCGCTATTGAGAATGTTCAGAGCGATTGACTTCAATTTTTCCCTCGGAAATTATTTCCTTAATAATGATTAGACAATTTACTAGACGCCTACTATTTAACTGAATCTAGTGATTAATGATTAGATAAGGTTTCAACAAACACGTAAAATTTCACTTCGAAATCAACCGATAAATGTCGGACGGCTGATTTTTTTATCATAGCAATGGAACCGGGCGTATTTACAGTCACTACTTTCACGTTTAAATGCAAGCGCATTCCTTTACACAATGGATTTAAACATTGTGTGAGTATACTGCAGCATTTTCAATCTCCAAGATGTGATCCTGCTTATCTAAACTTGTGTTGTGTGATATGCATGAAGTTTCATTTCCAAATCTGCTGACTTTTTGGACTGAAAGTAACCGACATTTTGCTAGACTATTGAAATGCATTAGAATAAATGTGTCTAAATTCTAGTTCGCTTCTTACTCTCCATCTTTTGAGGAACTTAGCAACATGTCGTTTAGACTCAGTCACTTTTGGTTGTAATATTGATATTCCATTCAACCCCATATATACACACAGCCGTTTCCTGTCTGGTTCAGTAAATGTGCTCAGTTATTTCATGTGGTATGTAAAGTTGGGTTTTTTAATGTTAGGTGTGAAGTACTTCAGTGACATTATTGTGCATAACTTTGGATTGAAATTAATTGTCACTTTGTTAAGCTATTCAAAAGACAAGTTTATTAGTCAATTAGTATTTGGATACATTTATTTTAACGTATTTGAATAGCCCTAGCAACATGTCGCTTACATTCTCGTCCTTTTTTGACGATAATTTGAGATATATAGCTATAAATAGAAAAACCAACCATTAAATTTAGCATAGAAGTGCAGTATTCGGAATTTATCATACAGATATCGGCACAGAAACAAAGTCGTCAGAAAAAAAACTGTAAAGCACATTGCTGTATTTTGCTCGACAGTGTAAGTATTATCATAATGTATCATGATACATAATGTTATTTTAATATTTTAGGCGCATGATCAACCGGTCGTGACAGTGAGCACATCTGCAACAACTAACAGTACCCTTGAACCTACCTACGTTCAAACATCCATCGTTAGTAAGAATCATAATTCCGAACAACTTTTCCCTCCTGAATCGTGTATAGCGAGAGCTTTTAAAGTTGAGATTAATGGTGCACACCTTATTCGAATGAATTCAGATGGACACTCCATTGCAGGAAGTGACCGACAGTTCAGAACAATTTATACTACTCCTCAAGGAGCTACAACTATGGCAGCTACATGAATTTACGTAACTGTATCCTAATATCTCATTTCATTATCTAATACCACCAGTCATACTGTTATTCAGTTCTGCAAGTTATTTTTTCATTTAAATCGCTGTTGATCTGTCTATTTTGTCATCTGTTGTTTGTTACTTACAGTTATGTTTTTTTTCGCCAACATCTTGATTATAGAAGATAAACTCATTCTATAGTCACCGTTAACACCCTAGTCCTCCGGTATTGTTGATTAATTAATTGCCTTACCTCTTTTTGCCTTCATTTCACACGCTCTCTCTCTTTCTCATTCAGTCCACACATTGTTGCCATTTCTACTTCTTTATTCACATGAAATATACTTCCTGAGCAAGAAGAAGAAGATGGGCAAACTTATTTTTCATATTTCTGAAAATATAATCTTGTACAATTTAACTTTGATTTCGTCTTTGTAATTTACACTGCGCCTTTATATATTATCCCTCTCTTTCTCTCTCTCTCCCTCTTTAATATAAGGTGTGTATGTGTGTATTCTTCAGCTAAATATTTTTCACATTTCTGGAAGTTTGTCCACCTGATGATTATTATTTCTCTTTCAAGCTCTAATCTCTCTCTCACACACACACATACACGTGAATACTTGAGAAACACTGTATCTAAAATATTCTTGTTGTGTATTAATATAGTTATGAGTTATATCAATATGTGATATGATAAATAGTTCACCCAAGAGGAAGTTTTCCAAAGTGTTTTGTCACACCACTTGGTTTTGTTTTGTCATCGGCTGAGAAGAGAAGGAAGGGGGGTATCGAAAAAGATATGTCTGTCTCATTATGGAGATTGTTATCACATCCTGGCCAATAATGAATAAAATATGGATGACATTAGTGATAACTCAGTAGCGTTTAAAATGCGTTTTGACCACTCTTATGTCTATGAAATCACGCTGTATATTGGTTAGTATATGATCTTTAGTAAGGCAAAAATGTATATTGTTTGCTCTAATATTCTTACTTGCTAAGTTAGTGGCCCCTGTTTTGTACTGAGGACCAGGGCAATGGTGACAAAAATGAACGTTGAAATCCCGTCCGTATGAGATCACCATTTTTAATAAGAAATTAGTGGTAAAATTTATTGGGATTATCATTTATCCCTCACATGTTTTTGAAACTTTTTGTCATTAACTTTCAACTAATGGGGTGCGGAAATAAATTGGTCCACATGTATCCAAGTTGTATCACCAATTTTACAAAACTGAGAAGTTCGTCTCTTAGATTACGAACTCAAGGAGATTCATTCGGAGATAATTTTGTTCGATACTAATATGTCTGGGTCCTGTGAATATCTCAGTCGGATAAGTGTCAATAATATCTCAGTCATTGTTAACTTGACGGCTCCAAAGATAAGCTTAGTTTATTTAAGAACATTGACATTATGAGTGCGTAGATTGAATTCCTCTTAAGTTTGTACCTTAGAATGAAACGGTCTACAATAATCTAAGGCAGCATACTTCAGTTTGACGAGACTACTCTTACACCACTTAGTCATCGGACACACGTACACATTTTACTTGATATCCTCCGGTTTTTTTAACCGAAATAAAGGCAAAGTGATTCAAACTTTGTGAAACTGAGTCAGCCTGTGACTACATAAAGAATTATCGGCAACGTTAAACTTTAAGCACCAGCAGGTACTTACGTATAAATTACCCTGAATGCAACAACCACATGTTAAAGGCAATGTTTGCGTATAAAATACTAAATATTCATGAAAATAATGAATTAAAAGGCATGAAACTGTTACACAGGGTACCTTTCTTTGACGTGCGATAAAAAATATCTCTCAGTTCTGTATTGGAGTATCAACAGAGTAGTTGAACCGCAATCTAGGTCTTTTAACCCTTACATGAATCCTAATCTACCCTTACCCTAACTAATGTCGCCTTTGTTGGATTACCCTAACCTGTCCTTAGCCTAAACCTTAACTTAATCTTTACCTAACCTGAAACTTGCCAGATATCCCATTTGATAACATGATAATTCATTAAGCATCTTTTATTCATGATTTACCAGGTCTCACTGATCGTTTCAAGGTCATTGGTGCGGTTGCACTCTCCACTGGTGCTTAAAGTTTAACTTTGCTAAATCATCTAATTAATTTCCTTCATTAAACTCGGATTTTTCAAAAAGAAACTGTCAATCCTTATCTTCCTTTTCTGAATTCCCATTTATGCATCTAGAAAAAACAACAGATTGAGTGAAGGAATATATTCCTTTCCAATTAGTTCTTCATCACCAGCTGTCTCTACACTGATGTATTACTTTTTTACATCGAAATTTTTTACCAATCAAGTGGCTATTTTAGATAATCAGTTCACGGTATAGGAGGTGGGTGGGTGAAATTAAGAGGTTAAAAGTCATCAAAACAATTAACTAATAGATGTTAGTAACGAGGTATATAAGTTTTGAAGGATGGGTCAAAGAAAGTTAATTTAATTACGGGATTCAAGATAAGTTGATTCTTAGGCGTTAGCAACAAGTTATTACATAATCAAGAAATTTGTGAAATAATGATGACTAAGAAAATTAGGATGACTCAGTAGAATCACGTGAAATACGAACAAGTTAATTGAATTAACTAGAATTTAATTGGTGGATGGTGACTAGCAGTGGAATCCAGGGTGCGCATTTCGTCCTGTTTAGGACTCGTCACCTGGATGTACCTGCATTTCCCAGTGAGTGATGATGTTCCCACCGAGGCTCGAACCCAGTGCCCATAGTTTCAAACGCCAAAGCGTTATCCACTTGAGCCTCGAGAGCCACCTCTTGTGCAACGGGTCATATTAATTTTAATTGTATTTTAGATTTTCCCGTCGATTGATTGGACCGAAGTGCTCGGTCTCAGGTTAACATGTCGGCTTCTTGTGCAGGTGCTACGGTGAGAACATCACTCACTGGGAAATGCAGCTGACGATTCCCGAATAGGACGAAATGCACATCCTGGATTCCACTGCTAGTCACCATCCACCAATTAAATTCTAATTAAATGCCCAGACATCGTTGAAGCATCTGCACAAGAAGCCGACATGTCAACCTGAGACCGAGCACTTCGGTCCAATCAATCGACGGGAAAATCTAAAATTCAATTAGAAGTAACTAGAATTGTAAAAATTAACAAAGTCAAAAAAAAGCTCCAAGGGGAGGGAGAAAAATCGTTTCTAAAAGCTTAATACATATTATGTAGTTGGCCATGGCAAAGAAAGGTGCTGTACAAATTTCTTTTCATCTCAAACACAGAATTGGCTTGTTCAGATGAATCCGATTGCTTCTACTGTGTACGTAAAAGTCGTACTCATAGACCATGCGGCGAGAGGTTGCGTGATATACGATAAATAACTTTAAAAGTTTCTTTAGTTTAGCCATTTGACTGAATAGAAATACATAATCCTATCAGTTTAAGATAGATCTGTTTTTTTTTTCAATATTAGTTTGGGTGATAATATTGGTATGAAAAATACCCATATGTGCTTTTAATTAAAAAGACAGGTTCTTTTCACAACTTCACTTCAAAGCTGTACAGTTGGTTAAAAAGTACTGTAGAAAGTTAGGTAAATGCCTTTAGAGCAAAATATTTACATAAGTTGAGGACGTCACTAGACAGAGCCTATCCTACAGCTAAGCTGGTTCCCGTCTATCGAACGACTTGTTCTTTGGTGCAATCAAAAGTCGACAGATATCCTTCTTATGTTAACTCCAACTGTGTATACGAATTCACGTGTATCTGCGGGAGCAGTTACACTGGAAGGACAGAAAGAAGGGCTTAATTCCGATGTAGCAAAAAACCTATGTCTAAGGGGAACAAATGGTTCCAACAGTGCCATCTCCTTGACACTGGTCATGAGGTGGACGTCGCAACATCGTGTAAAATTATCAATAGGCAAAAGAGTTCAATTCTTCTTAAGTTTGGCGAAGCAAGCGCCTGAAACCCGATTTATGCGTTCAGAAAGAAGTGGTTATCAGTCTTTCCTTACTCTGGTAACGATGTTTTCATCTGATTACGTAACGCCGAAATTTCCATTGTGTATGATCATTATTGTTCGGGATAAAGTGTTTATAATTATTATTGTATGCATATATTGATTGATTTTTGTTTAAAAATGAACTCTGTGGAATATGTTAAAATTATTTCTGTAGATAAACTGAATAATGTCTTTGGGTTGTAAGCAGCTGATGAGAAGCCAACGAAATAAGCATTGATGGTACTATTTTATTCTGCAAAAACTGTTGTTCTTGCTTTATTCAAAAACAGGAATTTACAATATCAGGAAAAATAATGAATTACGTAATCTAGAAACAGTAAGAGTTGTGAGCATCATTCAGGAATGATTACTATTTAAAAATACTACAAGCTCTTTTGAAAAGGAATATTGTTCAGAAGAGTAAGACTAATCAGAATATTTTTTTAAAGTCAAGAGTTTGAAAGGAAAGAATAAGAGGAAGATGAAGACCGAGGAAATATATAGATTACAGGATTTCATAATGAACTAACATCGACTAGAGAACCATTGGAAAACCTGGCGGTACTAAACAGCTATTTCGTCCTAGTTTGGGACTCTTCATCAGTGCGCACCCATCGACAGGGTTCGGACCCAGGACCTTACGGTCACAAGGTGGGCTCGTAGACCATTAAGCTACTTGTTCTCTAATCCTGTAAGCAATCGAACCCCCACAAAACAATACTTGAATATGGATTACATATGTGAAGTTATTGTGCGAGTTAAAAAAAACAGGAAGGAAAGTTTAGGATCACGATTGTAAAGTGGAGTTAAGGGTTTTCCTTGTGTGTAGCACGTGCTTGTAGTTTTTAATGGTACTCATTTCTCAACGATGCTCACCACACTTACTGTTCTTAGATTCCTCTTCATATTAATTAATAATGCCTAGTACAAACTTAAGAAGACTGATTGGCGAACAAGAAATTTCTTTTCGATAATTTCTTCGTCAGGCTCTACAGTCAAATGTATTAGTATCGGGTTCACGTCTGTGAACGACAATGCGTTGGACATTCATTTTGTCCTTTAGTAGTTGTTCATCACCTTCTTCATAAGTTACTGTCTTGAGGTCTCCTAGTCCAGCGTAGCGTAAGCGTTCACTTTTCTCTCTCTCACATATGCCTGATTTGCAAAAATGTTTTCACACCAGCCACAGGTGCTCCTCATTTTGAGTTACATAACGAAGCTTCAGCCTCCCATGTTGAATGAGTGTGTAACCAATTACGCCATTTAATAAATTGTAATTCACCCTCTTCTTTTTTAGGAGCAAAACTAGCATTCAAATCCTTCTCAAGACGAGTATCATATAAGGTGGTAGGATTACCAGTTGCACCTTTACGATGAACTGCATGAGTGGGAATTTCCTCAGTCACATCATCAGCCTTTTCATCTTCAACCCATTCCAATTCTGGATTAGCGTTGCCAACACCTTCATTATTTTCCTCTGAATATTGTTCATTTAAGCCTCTCTGAGCTAAATTTTCATATTGACACTTTCATATCAACTTAGTATTTTTTGTTGCTATTACACTTCCGTGTAAGGTTCTTTGGTTTCCTGATCTGAATATAGTTGGATTTGGTCGTTCTGATGGTTGACCATCAGATCCATCGTGGCTATCGTTAAAAAGAGCGCTCTTATAATTGACACGATTTCCTCTTGTTCTTAAACTATTATGTTTTGTTGGTATACTATCATTCCAGTCCTCCGTTACGCTATCTGTCAAGCTATTGCTATCTGAGTTGCTGAGTAGACAA